GGACGTTACAGCGGTTCCCATCCCCGCGGCGGGGCCATGCCCTCCGTACCCGCGGGGACACGTGCCATTTAATCAGCCCGATGACTTTACCAACATCCACTGAAAAATTGATGCCTCCCAACCGCACGCTGCCGTCCGACAAGCAGAAAACGTAACTTAGCCAAGAGACGGCTCCTCGGGCAGTGGCACGGTCCCAGGCCTTCACCCGTCCCTGGGCACAGGGTCACCCAGCCGGGGTGGCCACGGAGGGGACGTGGTTTGTCCCCAGGGACAGCGTGCCATGGCCAGGATGGGTTCCCCCGGGGTGATCTCTCATCGCACCCAACCAGGGCTCTGACCCCACCTGGGTGCTCAGGTGGTTCCCCATGGGTGCTGTGTCTGGGGGTTATGGGGGTACCCTGGTGATGTTAACCCCTTCCCTGCCGTGCTGGTGCAGGGCCCTCCCTGCCCCCCCCCGCCCCCCAGATGCGGAGCGGCTGCTGCGGCGCCGGGGAACTGCGCTGCGAATATGTTACACAAATGAATAATAAAAACAAAGGAAAATTACCCTCTTATTGAAACTCGTTTTATGAATAAAACAATTATTCTGGTAATTGAAAAAATGTGTCGTTAAATTAAATGCAGTGGTTCCTATTAAAATTTTAGTGGATTGCTTCTTCTCTGTTTCTTTTTCCCCCTTTTTCCTTCCCTCCCTCCCTCCCTGCCTCCGCTGGCGGCTAAAGGCTGGTAATTATAGCAGAGGGTTTCGCTTTCTCTTTATTGTTTTTTAATCTCTTCGTGCTGCGGAGCGCCAGTGATAGTCTGATGCAGAAGAGATTTAGCTCCATCTCTCCGTGCTGGGGGGGCCACAGGGGGGCCGGAGCGGGAGCGTGGGGCTGCTCAGTGGCTGTGCCAGGGCTCCCGGAGGGCTGCCATCCTGCTTTCTGGGCAGTGATGCCCAGGGAGGGATGGGGGAGCCCTGCAAAGCTTGGGGGACCAGGGACACAGCTCTGTCCCCCCTCCCATGGTCGGGGTGGGGTGCAGACAGCGGAGCATTCCCTTCCCAGGGCTGCCCCTTTGCACCGGCCGCATCCTGGCCAGACCAGAGAGGGGCTGGTGGGAAGGGAGGGAGGTGAACGTGTTATTTTCTCTGAGGCAGGTGTTGGCACTGGGTGGCCGAGGTGGCAGGCACGGTGCTGGGTACCGGTACTCGCTGTTGGTGGGGTTCTGTCGGGTGCTTGGAGCCCACGGGCTGGATTCAGGGCATCCCACCGGTGCTGGTGAGCATCGGCTCGGTTGGGGCTGCCTGGTGCATCGCGCCGTTTCTTACCCTGATTCATGTCAATTAGCAGGAACGGGTCCTGGGCTGATCAGCTTCCAAATAGCGAGCTGGGGAGGGGAGCGGCTGCGTGTCACCCCCTGTCCCTAAGGGGCGGCGGGGTGGTGACCCCGAGCTGAAGGAGGGCTGAGCCCGAGCAGGGAGGGGGACCGCGTTGTCCCAGGGGTCACCGTGCCGGGCAGGAGGGGGACCCGCGCCTGCCGGTGCTCGTGCGAGGCATCCACAGCAAAGATGGGAGAAGGACCCGGGTGTCCCACAAGCTGCTGGTTCTTCGTGGGTGGCCAGGGGGGGACCTGTGGAGTCACGCCTTGTGCCCCCATCCCCATCTCGATCCCGCAGGGGGAATCGCACCCTCCTTCCCACCCCCACCAGCAGCTGCCCGGCAGAGCCCTGCCCTTGGCAGGCACTCCAGGATTCCTCCGGGCTTAAAACTCCCCGTCCCTTCCCATCAAGAGGGATTTGAAGCTGGGGAGAGGGGGGCTTAGTTCCCAGCTCTCCCATTACGCCCAGGAATTAGGATCCATTACTGCTCTTGCGACGAGACCGGGGCTCCCTGCCCTACATCCGCACCCCTCCCCGGCACTAATGCACTGGGCTCAGACCCAGCTCCCGGCAACCCTTATGTAAATAAAGTGCAGGGGCAAAGATTGTGATCCCATTAGGCAGGATTAGTGCCTTGTGAGGCCCTGGCATTAAAATGTCATCCGCAGTGGAGGGAGAGAGCTGCGCTCATCCCTGTTCCTGTCCCCCTTCCCTCTTGCCAGCTCTTGGCATCCCGTTCATCCCGTCCATCACCGCCGGCAGCTCGGCTGGAGCGGCTCAGCCTGGAGGCAGCGTCCCCTGCGCTGCTCCCTGGCAGGGCTCAGCACCAGGGTCACCGGTACTGGGGGGACCGGTGCGGGCAGGATGGGGACGGCGTGGTTTGGAGGCACCTTTCTGCATGGAGGTGACTGTGCTGTGCTGCCGTAGCTGGCACGGCACCCGGCCGACGGCCCTCGGAGCTCAGCACCGGCCTGTGCCACCGGCAGATGTGCAGATGTTCCCAGGGACGCCTCTCACTGCCGCCTGTGTTTGGAAAGTGATGAATTCCTGCACCAGCTAATTAGGCTCTAATTAGCAAGTGGAGTGTAAACAGTCACAACAGATGGGGGAGAGGCGGAATTAGCAATAGTGACCCTTCATTTGGGGGGACGTGGCTGTCATGCACCGGGAAACCTCCTACTGGGTCCAGGACTGGGGCAATAGCAGCCCCCATCCACGCCGGCTCGGCGGTGGGGTGACGAGGTGGTGGGCACCCCCGTGCACCCTGAATTTGGTGATGCCATGGCCTGTCATACTGCCAGGATGGTGGGAGAGAGGAGCTCCCCCCCCGGCTTGCCGGGAGCAGAGCTGAGATGCTGGGTGCTGCCAAGCGTGCCGGGGAGTAGAGGGAAACTGAGGCAGGGAGAGCTGCCAGAAGGGCTGGGGTGCGAGGGGGTGCCACGCTGCTCAACATCAGGGCCCCCCACTCGTCTCCCCTCGGTGCTGCGGAACGTTGCGCTGATGGCGAGAGCCAGCGCGGGCAGCCGCCGTGGAGCTGGTGGGCAGGGGAATGCCGGGAACAGCCTGTCTTGTTCCCGAAGGCCTCTCCAGAGATGTCGGCACTAAACCAGCCGTGTTGCCCTCCCCGGGTCCCTCCGCTCCTCCTGCCATCGCCGGCGCTGGGCTGGGGTCCCCGGCAGGGCGCGGGGCTCCCAGGTGGCTCTGTCCTTGCCAGGCACCGGCCGGCTGGGAGGATGACGAGGATTTCACACGCGGTCGCCCATACGTGCAGCCGGAGCTGCTCCGGCACAGCCATCCAGAGCTCGGTGCCGCCTTCGCCCCCCACAAGAGATGCCCGGGGTGCACTCGGGATCCCCAGCCCCGCTGTCCCCTGTTGCAGCTGGGCTGTTTTGGCTTTCCCAGGGGAGCAGAGGAGCCGGCTGCGGGCGAGGGGACAGGAGCCGCTCAGTCCAAGGCGGCTGCCGTGACCTTCGCGGGTGGATAATGATCGCACGATCAATAGTGGAATTAGGAGCCGCCTCTCCTCCTCTGTGCCGTTTTTCACCCCTTAATGCAGAACAGATGGCTCGGGTGCTTCAAAGCGAGATGAGCCTTAGCTGCTTAAAATCAAATTAGGATGTATGCAAACAGCGTGCGGGCCCAGGGGAAGGTGCACCAGGAGCACCCTGCCTCCCAAACGCCTCCCAAACGCCTCCCAAAAGCTGGGTGCTGGGCTCAGCTGGGGGGGGGGTGCACTGAACACGCCGGGTCTCAGTCCAGTCCGACGTGGGCGAAGCTCCGGCATTGCAGGTCAAGGTCCTGCCACGCCGTGGTGGGGACATGCGTGCACGCCCCCACGCACACGCGTGCAGAGGTGGCACACGTCGTGCACAGGCACAGATCTTGTGCCCTGGATGTTCCCACGAGCCCGGCTCGGTCAGGCCCAGCGGCACGTGTGTGCCTCGCTCCTTGGGCATCCCAAAAGCCGCAGCTCAGCCACCGTGGGGTTGCCACGAGCTCTCCAGACCGGGGAACCACACGGCCACGGGCCGGGCTCACAGCCAGCTGCCCTTGGTGCCAAACCCCACATTTGGGGCACCGAGCTGCCGTCATGCCCGCGGGCACCCCTCTGCCCCCCGCGGCGTCCGGGGCTTGCTGGAGAGCTGGGCTGCGGCAGGATTCGGCCCCGGTGCTCCACACCTGCTTTGCGAGGTGCCCTAATGCCCGGATCAAGCCCGGACCTGGGGCAGGAGCACCGGGGTGAGAGCTGCCTGTGCCAGCCAGCGCTGCTGAAGGTCAAAGAGGAGGACTGAATTAAGGAGCCACGAGCTGCTCCTTCCCTGCCTAATGACTTGCCTGGCATTTAGCATCACCGTGCTTGCCCCGGGGACAGGCAGGACAGGGCAGCCGGGTGTAAATCAGATGGGCATTTCCACGTGGGTGCACCAAGCGGGCGCCCCAGCGTGTGCAGGAGCCGTGCCCTGCCAGCGAGGAGAGGAGAGGAGAGGGACCCCCAGTGCAGGTCTGGTGGTGTCTGGGTGCCTCTGAGCTCCTGCAAACTCGTGACATCCCCCCCCCCAGGGCAGTGGGGCAGCGGAGCAGGCTGAGCCCACAGGCACTGCTTTGGTGCCGGCTCACTGTGCGGAGAGCCGTGGCAGGAATTCAGCTCGCGCACACAAGAAAGTGAAGCCCTACCCCAAAGAAAAAACCTAAAGCTGTGATTGAAAGCGCACTTGAAAGCTGCTGGGGAATATGAATGTGTCTTTGAAGTAAAAGGGCTTCCATTTGTTAAGCAGAAAATGGAGCTGTGTGTTTCGATTTATAGTTTTACTTAGCAAATAAAACAGGAGAGGAGTAAGTGTTTATGTCTCGCTCTGCTCCCAGCCCCTCCGCCCCCTTCGCCCCCCGAGTTAAAAGCTCAGTGCTTCTGAAACGCTACAAAGGCAGCCGGGAATAAAGCAAAGCAAGCAGCTTAGATAAACCCTAGATGGGCTAAGCTCTTGTCGATAGGCTTGTGAAATGGCTCAGGGGAGGAAAATGGCCAGTGGAGGGGTCTGGGGGCCCTGGTTGGGACAGGGGGACGGGGAGGTGACCACCAGCATCCCCCTGCCCTCGTGCTGCAGGTTTATGGTTATGCCTGTGATGAAGTGGTCCTGCTGCCATGGGGCTGGCAGGCTATGGGGATGGCAGGCTATGGGGCCGGGCATGTTTCTCACCCCCTTTCCCTCCTCTCTCCGCAGACGATGTCTCCCCATACTTTAAGACGGAGCCGGTGCGGAGCCAGGTCCACCTGGAGGGGAACCGCCTGGTCCTGACGTGCATGGCGGAGGGCAGCTGGCCCCTCGAGTTCAAGTGGCTTCACAACAGCCGGGAGCTGACCAAGTTCTCCCTGGAGTACCGGTGAGTCCCCACCGCTGCCACTGCCGAGCATCCGCAGCGAATCCCGCCCGGCACGCCGGTCCCTGCCGGCAATGGCCGTGGCACAGAGGGCATTGCCGGTGTCCCTGCGAGGGGATGCCGTCCCGGGGAGGCAGGCAGCATGGAGGCAGCGGTTAGCACGCCGGGAGCTGCCGCCTCTGTTTGGAGAGCAAATGGTGGATTTAAGCAGGTCAACATCAGGGAGGAGGCGTTTGCACAAGCGGGATTAACACCCGGCCACAGATCACGGCCGGCTCGTGGCTCCCCGAGAACGGCCCGATGGGGGGGAAAGAGCAAGGGAAGGGCGGCACGAGAGATCGCCCCGGGTTCGGGCATCCAGCCCCATGTGCCGACTAATCCTGCCGCAGAGTGGCCGTCCCCCACGTCAGAGCCCGCTTGGAGCTCACCTCTAAATCAAGCCGGGCACCTCTCGCCGTCTCTTCTGTGTGCGTGTGTCATCCTCTCTGTTTTAATCAATAATTCAGCCCGAGACAAGCCGTTCCCCGTTTAAAGGCATTGAATCCAAAGGCTTCGTGTTGCTGTAGCAACGCGGGGCTGCTCCGGGATGCCAGGAACGCAGACAATGTGGCTGAGTGACGTCCCCTCTCCGGCACCGTGTGCCGTGCTGGGTCCCCTCCCCGGCACGGTGCCATGCTGGGTGCTGGAGCAGTGGCCATCCTTGGGGACAATCTTTGGGGGGTTGTCCCCAACCAAGCCACCGGTGACTGCAGCTCTGCGATGTCCCCGATGCCCCAGGCTCGGTGCTGGGTGTTTTTAGCAGTGCTGGGTGCCCTGTGGGACAGGTCCCTTGTCCCTAGTCCTGGTGTCGAAGCTCAGAGACCTGTTGAGCCCCGCGATTCCCACAGCTCACGCCTGTCGGGCGGTCACGTTGGCTGCGGTGGGAACAAGGCAAAACGTTGACCCTTAAATAGGATGGTGAGGAAGGTGGTGACAGCAGGGTGGGGGGACACAGGGCCCGTGCAGGGGCTCCTCCAGGGCAGCTGCACAGCACTGGGGCAGAGCCACCCGCCCCAGGCAGGAGAAAGGCATCAGGCTCTCCCCCATCCTTGGAGGGGGTCGGGGAACCTGGGGGGCACCTCCAAACCCAGAACGGGGATTCCTGGCTTCCTTCATGACTGTGCTCCTGGCTTTACTCCGTGCCTCAGTTTACCCTTCTGTAGGAAAGGAGCCACCACTCGTATCTCTGCTCTGGGATGCCCGGCAGCTCTGGAGCCCCGTGTCCCTGTGCCAAGGTGACTCCCTTTCCCCAGAGCCCCCGGCCCCCACCTCCGGCTCCAGCATCCAGCCAGAAAGGATTAAGGAAGGAAGCGAGAAAATAAACAAACACGTAGGGAAAACCCAAACAAACCCAGCCGCAGCTAATGAAGCAAACAGCCTCTATGCAAATCACTGCCTGGCTTTAACCCGTCCTCTCGGCAGCAAGGACGCAACCTGCTGGCATCAGCTTCATTCTGCCCGGCGTGCGTTGCCTGTCCCTGGGTCTCCGCGGGGATTTAATGTGTCGAGATGAGAGTTTGGACATCTTGCCTGGAATTGAAGGCTGACGGTGAGGAAGGCGAAGTACCAAAATTAGTTATGATGGGCAGAAATTGAATTTTAATAGAGATGTCGGTGGCACGGAGCCAGCCTGCTCAGGCAGTGGGAAGGTAGTAATTAAAAGTTAACGAGTTTAGAAACAGAGTAATCCTTGGAGAGGGGAGGGCTGGTGTTTATGGCCAGGGAGGCTCAGGGATGCTCCTGTCCGTGCGGGGGCCGGGAATGGCTGCGGGTGCATTGGCAGCATGGGTGAGGGATGCGGGGTGCAGCCACCACCCCCCCCAGCTTGGGGCTGGCATGTGGCCCCTGGCATGTCCCCACTCCGGGGACAGGAGGGACCTTTCCTGGGCCCTGGCCATGCCCATGACAGGACGCATCATCCTTTGCAGCAGGGCCATGTCCTGGGGGGGAGCAGCCCCACGGAGCCGGCCGGGTTTGGTGGCATCACCTCGCGGTTCCCAGCTAGGACGGTGTGTCAGCGAGCATCCCGTCCTCAGCATCCTCACCGCTCCTCCCCAAATCCTCTCCTGCAGCAGGGCATCCCGCCAGCACCGCCGGCTGCTATCGCCCTTGTGCATTTTACCCATTTTTCTGGGGGCTGGGGCTCTCGGCCCCTTAGCCCCGCACTCCCCACAAACCACCTGGGTTCATCCTCGTCTGATGGTCAGACGAGCTCACGCTGCGTTTTAAGGGAAGGAGCCACTCTCCCAGTTTGGCAGCGAGTTTCCATGGCGACCGCCCTTTCCTTCCCGCAGCGATTCAGCCGCCAGCTTGCCACCGGAGCGACTTGTTGGTGTGTGGCAATGGGCAGGTGGGGAGTGGGCTCGGCAGACCCCCGGCCCCGAGCCAGCGAGGGCCAAGGCAGTGCCTCTGCGTGCAGCTGGAGCCGACCCCTCGGGAGCATCCCTTGGGACCGTGGGGGAATCGGGGACCAGCTTGGCTCCATGTGCATGTGGAGCTGTCCTCCCTCGGGAGCATCCCTGGGGATCGAGTGTAATCGGGGACCACAGAGGGACTGGGGACCAGCCCGGCTGTGTGTGTGCATGGAGTCATCCCTGCTCAGGAGCATCCCTGGGGACTGCGGGAGATCAAGGACCAGCCTGCCTTCACCCACTTGCTGCCTCCGTTGCCTGCCGCTGGCGTGGGGTGCACGGAGACAGCTATCCCATGGGACCCCAGCTGCCTCCCGCGCCTGGGGACCCCACAGCAAAACCCCATCCCCTCCGATGCCCGTCGTGACCTTCGTTAAGGTGACGGTGAGGCGAGTGGGCGGTGGAGCCTTTCCTGCACGCTCTGCTCCCGTGCCCTGGCACGCTGGCACTGCGCTCTCCAGGGCCAGCTCTGTTTTTCCGTGCATAATCTCGCCGGTGCCGGGCTCTCCTGCGAGCTCTCCAGAGCCTGACTTCTTCTCGTACGAGGAATCATAACATGCAAATCAGGCAGCTTGATGTCTTTAATGAAATCCTCAGAAGGAAAGCGCTTCTCTGGTGAATTGAGGATATTTATTTCTCATACAAGAAATTTAACATGCAGATTAGTTGAGTCTGGTAATTTATCACATGAGATTGTCGTATTAAGGGTTGCACCGAGTCCTGCTGCCTTCGGAAATTACCTTACACATAGATTACCTCTGGACAGACTCCCATCCGTAGAGATGCATCTTCTGTCTACTAAATCAGCCCTTTTTCCTCTCCCCATGTCCCTCCGCAGCTGGTGCAGGAGCCCAGCAGCTACTAAAGGATCCCCTGTCTCTTCCCAAGAGCCCGGATCCCCTTTGCCGGGAGCTCGGAGCCTGGGAAAGTGTAATTACATCTCTGACGCTGGCTGGCTTTGCCGCTGCTGTGCTCACCGTGCCTTCCCCCAGCAAAACCGGGTTTGCACAACTGAGCCTCCCGGTGCTCCTCTGGGTTTCTCGGGCACGGCGCAGCCCCACGGCCCCTCGCCAAGACCACCTGAGTCCCGGGGTTGATTTTCCAGCGCATGGTGCCTTCTACCCATCCCCATCTACTTCCATGCGTGGGGAGGGTTGGCAGGAGCCACCCTGCACGGGCTCACCGAGGAGAGGCAGATTTGGGGCTGTTTTGATACCCCATCCTGCTGGGTTGGGATGTTTTGGGGTGTGCGTCCCCCAGGGATGCAGGGAACACAGCATGCTGCGCACACGGGACTCTGCCAAGCCTTTATGGCTTTTTGAGGACCCCAGATGTTTGATGCCCGTACTTTGTCCCCAAATTATGTTAAATATGGAGCCAGGATGCTCTCAAAAACACAGACCTGGTGGCAAACTGGGCAGTTCACACCTGGCTCCCTGCTGGGACCCCAACCTGTGCGGCTGCTCGCTGGGAGCAGGTCCCTGCTGTGGCTGGACCAGGTTGTTGCCAGCCCAGGTGTGAAGCACAGCCCTCTCCCCTGGGGAGCTAATTGCCATTCAATAATATAATTAATGGGAGCTGATGAGCATTGGAGGAGTTGCAGCCAGGCTGAGTGGGAGCCCAGCAGTGAGTTTCTGCCGCCTGTGGCTCCAGCCTGGCTGGCTTCGTATTTGGCATTGCCGTATGTGGCAAAGCCCCCAGGAGTGCCGGTGAGGCACCACGGAACCGGTAATGTGCAGCATGGGGTGGGCTTTGCTGGTGATGCTTGTGCTGTGAAGACTCCTGCCTTTCTCTGTGCCTCGTTCGGCTTTGAGGGGGACATGGGGGGGTTGGCGTGAGCAAGCGGCAGCGATTGCCGGGTGCAGGGCAGCGGTGCCCGGGGGGCATCGGGGCTGGCGGGAGGCACACGGCGGGGAAGGCGATGGAGGGGATCTCTTTGCTGGGACCTTACATGGGTTCAGGCAGCTGTGGGAAGGAGACAGGCGGGGGGCTCTCGGACCCAAAGATGCCACCTGAGCTGGGCGGCAGCTGTGGCCGAGCTCCTGGAGAGGGATGTGCCGGAGCCCTCCGGATGCCGTAACACGGATTGAGGCTTGTGCGCTCGCTCCCCTCTCCGCTCTGCAGGAAGGTGGCAGATTAATACGTGGGCATTAATTGTTAAATGGCTCATTGTTCTGGCAGGGCCAATTGAGGCAGCGATTTACAGGGCTGCCGGCACCCGCCGAATTCCCCTGACCAAAGGAAAACACTTCGGCAAGCGGAGAGGTGACAGCTCCCACCACGTGTGTCAAAACAGAGCCCTTTCCAATCAGGAGCTAACTGAGTTCCAATAATACAGTTAACAGGGGCTGATGAAGTACCAGGGGGGGTTATTTAAAAACATGCTGAGCAGGAGCCCAGCGCGGCGGATGGGTGCAAGTGGAGGTGCTGGGACATGTGGCTCAGGTGCTGGGAGTCGTTAAACCTTTGCTAAGTGTGTTTTAATGCTCGCTTGACATTTCATTATTGCACAGTAACTATTCAAATACATGTCCCCTCTAGAATTAATTAGTCGTTATACAGAATATTAATCAAAGGGGACCATGCCAATGTGCTGATATCCAAAATCCGATCCAGCTGTTGCTGTTACTGGGCGACATTGGAAGAACCACAGATTTCTGCACTCTTCTGGCTTTCAATTTGATGGATCAAATCCTTTGGCTGATGCTTTTCCTGGCCCCTCTCCACCCCCTCAATCTAATAATAATTCGGCAGCGTCAGCCCCATGCTTCTCAGCAACCTACAATAATCGAGCTGGGAGCATCAGCCAGGACTGGGGCATCACTCTCGCGGCACCGTGAGCACCCCTACCATAACAAGGCGGTGCGTGCAGCCCGGCGTGTCGGTGCTGCCGGTGCCTCGCCAGGGTTGCACGGCGAGGGGGGGGTTATGGCTGAGCGCGATGCTGCGCCCCTGTCCTGCCTCGCTGCGGTGGAGCTGCTGGGTAGATGGATGGGGAGGTTGTCGTTCCCGACGTGCAGCCCATCCATCTGTCAGATCGATCCGGTGCCAAAGCCTTCCACCGGCCGGCTGCTTCTGCAAACCCGCTGGTCCCCCGGCATGGAGCTTCTGGCTCCGGAGGCCCCTCCTGACCCCGGGGCTGAGCGTGGCACAGCCGCTTCCTGACTGAGCCTGGAGACTGCCGCTGTTTTCCATCAGTGCATTTTTTTTTTTTTTTTTTGAAGCTCAGGTCAGTTCTCGCTTCGGAAGTGCTTTTCCCCACAGACGATGCCCTGTCAACCTCTGTCTTTACAAACAAACCAAACAAGCCTCTCGAAACAGCAAAGTCAGCAGCAAGGGCTGCGCTGGGAGGACAGCCAGACCTCCGTCCCGGCTTGAGCGGTGCGAAACGCGCCTCTGGGCTGGCAGATGGGCAAAGCGACCCGGTTGGAGCAGTGCCTGCCAGCACCGGGTGGCAGGATCGGTCCCCAGTGGAGGAGCCTCCTCCTTGGATGGCACGGTGGAGCCAGGAGCTGCTGGCCACGGAGGAGCAGCCATGTGGCTTGTGGCTCGTGGCCATTCCTGCTTGCTCAAACTGCGGGGGGGGGATCTGCATGGGGTGCTGGGGCTGCATGCTTCACCCCTCCTCCTGCCCGCAGCGCTTCTCCCTGCGAGGGGGTGAAATTGGTTACCGTCCCCTTACAGCCAGGCGTGATGGGGGAAGGAAATCAAATCAGAGCAGTCTTGGATAAAAGCCTCCGTGGAAGCCGAGCGGCAGAGAACAAAGTCTCTGCTCGTGTTTGGTTAATGACTGCGGGCCAGGCTGCGCCCGGTAATTGATTTCCTTTCTCTGGGCTATTTTCAGCCGCTTAGGTGTGTGCAGAAGCTCGGCTCCTTAATAGCTCCTCCAGCTCCGGTGGTGCGGGGACCAGACCCCGTTAATTGGATCTGCAGGGGTGTCCCCGTCGGGGAGGGGGTGCCCACGGAGGTGTCCTGGCTCCACGTGTGTGTGGACAAGGCGCTGCAGTGGGGCTGTGCATCGGTGGGTGCTTCGTGCGTGGGTGCACGTGAGCCCCAAGGTGGGGGTTTGGGTCCCACAGGGTGGCTCGCGGGCTGCGCCGGGGGCTTTGTGCTGGCCCCTTCCTGGGATGAGGGTTTGGAGGGGACGTGGCAGCGAGGATGTGGCAGGGGGATGCGCAGGGGGTCTGTGTGGGGACCGTGTGTGACCCTCCGCTGCTGAGTGGGCAGGTGGGCATCAGCAAGTGTCCATCCGTCCATCCATCCATGTGCGTGTGTGTGTTTAGGAGTCACAGTGTGTGCGTGTGATTTATTAACGAGGACACCACAAGGAGAGCGGGCCCATTATTCCTGGTGTCCACATCAGTTCCTGACAGCTCCGTGGAATTGAAATATCTTATTTAAAGCCTCTGGGGATCATTTTTAAATATCAGCTGTGACACTCAAGGATGTGTTCCCAAAGGGCATCCTCCCTTATCCTGCGGGGACGGGTGATCCCTGGCACGCCACATGGGTGGATGGATGTCAGCAGTGGATTTGATGCCAGTCCCACTGTGCCCACCATGGCTCGGTGGTGCCACTGGGTGAGGTGGGAGCCCCGTGTCCCCGGCACCATCTCCTGCACCAGGGGGGTGGGCACAGGGGCCCTGCCACGGAGGGGACGTGCTCCTTGTGTCTTATGAAAGTTTAATTTACACTCAGTTATCAAAAGAACAAACAAAGCTTTGCCGAAACAGCCCGCGGCATGTTTTAATGTGAGATTAGATTTTGGGCAAGGAGGGTTGAGCTTGGTTATTTATTCCCTTTCTGGTTTATCTCCGAGCACTCCCCGTTGGGGAAGGTGATGCTGCAGCGCCTGCTCACCCCCCCCCAGGGTCGCCCATCTGCACCACTGTTGGGGGGGGTCCAGCCTATTTTGGGGGCTGATGGAGCAGGAGCGCCTGCATCCCTCCTGGGAGTGGGGACTGCTTGGGGAGGCCTGGTGGCAGCAGGGTCTGGCTTGGAGACCAGGGCGATGCTCGGGGGCTGTGGGAGAATGGAGACGTGGTTATTTCCTTTATCTGCTTATCAGCTGCTGGCGCTGGCGGCTGATAAGAGCAGCCGCCGGGGATGATAAGGCGGCTCAGCCCCGGCTAATCGGAGCGGTGCTGGGCTCGGCCGCACACGGCGCCGAGGCAGAGTGACACCGGCAGACCCCGGCGTGCCTCTGCCGCGCACCACCGGGACTCAGCGCAGGGGTCAGGGCAGCGGGTGCCAGGTTGCTGGCAGCCGCCTCCGCTTTTGACAGCTCCAAGCCACTTCCCCAGCGCATCCCACTCATGGCAGTGAGTCACCGTCCACCCCCGGCACCGGGCGGGTGATGGTCACCGGCTCGTGCCGCATGGTGCCGTGAAATTACCTCCTGTGTGCGTGGCCACGAGTCCCTCTGTGGCAGCAAGGGATGCTGTGTTGTCTCCCCAGCGTGCACACACATACGTGCCTGCACGGACACGCACATACATGCACGTATACCCACCTCCAGCAGCTGCTCCTCGGGGAAGGAGCCGGTACCTGGCACTGGGGTTGCTGCCCAGCAGTAAATGGGGGGCTTGTATAGGACCTGCAGCCTCTCCCGGGGGGCTGTGATGGTGACTTGGATGTCCCCATCCACCGCTGAGGTGGCTTCTCTTTCCCGCAGGTACATGATCACCTCGCTGGACCGCACACACGCCGGCTTCTACCGCTGCATCGTCCGCAATCGGATGGGAGCCCTGCTGCAGCGCCAGACCGAGGTGCAGGTGGCCTGTAAGTGACAGCCCCACTCGTGGAGGGGGGGGGACCGGCCGGGGACACCCAGCTCCCCAACACTGCGGGATGGCTCGGGCATTGGTGCAGCCCATGGCCAGCCCAAGCAAGTCCGGAGCATCCTTGGGGTGATGCTGGCAGGGATGGGGCTGTTGCTGCCTCTGCTGCTCCCGCTGCCCAGTCTGGAGCCGTGGTGGTTGGGGAGGATGGGTGGCACCCCAAGGGCAGGGCAGAGCACAGGGTGCAGGCAGAGAGCTCTGGGGCTGGGGAACCCACAGCACCGTGTCCGGGCAGGCGGCTTCAGCTCCCTGGAGGGATAAAACGCTTTGCAGCGTGAAAGCAGCCCCGCTCCTCCCCAGCTGTGTGGAGCGCTGGAAGCAAACACCGTTTATAATCGTTACTGAAAGCAAACAGGAGCGTGCGGGGCTGGGCGGCTGCATCCGTCAGCGCGGGAGCAGGGGTAGCCGGGCTGGTGGCTCGGTCCCGGGTGCTGCTGCCACAGCTCAGCACAGATCCTGCGAACGAGCGAACCCGAGCGGGATGGGCCAGACCTCGGGGGTCTGCGCTGGGGGGTGATGCAGAGGCACCGTGGGGGGTTTAAGCAGGACAGGAGGGTGCTGAGGCCCGGGATGCCGGCTCTGTGCCCCAGGGGACTTGCCCCTCTCTGTCACCCCTTCTCTCCGGGATGTCCCCAATCCCATCCACTTAAACCCCTTCCTGAGGAGCAGTGACAAATCAGGAAACTAATGAGAAATTAATAAGGCAGCTGTGCTAACAACTAATGATAATGGCAAAGTCGTTAAAAAAAGATTCTTTACATGTTTTTAATTACAGCAATTAAGCGAAGTCAATAAAAATCCCCTGCCCCCCTTCTCCGTGCACCCTGCTTCGCTCTGCTTTCCTCAATTGCTGCGTGCTTCCAGCCTGCAAACGGCTGGGCAGGACGGAGGCGGCGGGTGCCCCGACCTTGCCCGCGGAGCCAAGGTCATGCCGGCGTCCTCCCGGAGCTGGGCTACAGGTTGGGGCAGGGAGAGATGCTGGGGAGCCCCAGGACTGAGCCCTCCTTGCTGCGCCTGCACCCCATCCTTGGTGGGGGACACGTGGGCAGGGGGTCCCCGGTCTGGCATGCAGACGACGGGGCTGTGCAACTCCGGGTGCTGCAGGGACGGATCCTGATCTGAGCGCAGCCCCTGGCACACCCGGAGCGTGCCCGCCGCCATCCCGTGCCCTGTGCCAACTGAGCCACCCCAGCCGAGGAGGGGAGCAGAGTGCGGACCCTAGGGCAGCCCCTCTGCATCCTCTGGGGGAGCCCATCCCAGTAGCTTCCAGCCTGCTCCCCAGCTGGACCCAGGGGCTGACCCTGCTGGGTCCCTGGCTGCGTTGCCAGCCCCTCCCCAACCCCTGACATGGTTCTCCGGCACATTTTGCAGATATGGGGAGCTTTGAGGACAGCGAGACGCAGCAGAGCGTGTCCCACGGGGAGGCAGCCGTCATCCGTGCGCCCCGCATCGCCAGCTTCCCCCAGCCCCAGGTCACTTGGTTTCGTGACGGCCGAAAGATCTCCCCCAGCAGCCGCATGTGAGTACCCCGGCATCCCCCCAGCACCCCTCTGGGGGGGCTGCATTTCCCTCAGCTGCCGTCGTCCTTGCAATAAGGATGTTTAACAGACGTCTTGAGCGCGTCGTGCTAAAACCCGGAGACAGACTTGGTGACTAATGGCTCTGTCACTGGGGAAATGAATTTTTTTTAAAAAATGAAAATAAGAGGGAGGAAGGTGGGCAAAAGGGGCACAGCACGTGCTGGGGCAGCAGCTAGCGTGACAGAGCCGGGTACGGCACACGTGTGTGTGCCAGGCATCCCTGTGGAGCTGCGGCAGGCCCCGGCGCCACCGGAGCGGCAAGCCCAGTGCTGGCAGACGCAGTGTGCAGGAATTGAATTTGTAACCCACATTATGCAGGAATTGAACTGGTCTCCTTTCTATTTGCAAAGCGGGATTGAGGAGATAAAACTCCTTTATCTCATATTTAATGGTAAAAAAATATATTCCCCAAACCATTTTATGTTTCCAGCAGATTAGATCGTTCCATAAAAAAAAAAAAAAAAAAAAAAAAAAAAAAGTCCTTTTAATCTGCACCGTCCGATGTGCTCCGCTTGGTGCGGGGGTGTGGGGCTTGGTCCCGGCATGGTCCCGGCTCTTGCCTGGGCCAGTGCCTGAGCCCAGCCCTGTCTGGGGGCAGGCGGGAGGAAGGCTGGGGGCCATCCCCATCCCCATCCCACCTGGGTGCCCTGGGGCTGGTGCGGATGCTGCGTGCGGGATCCCAGCTCGCTGCATCGGTATCCCCCGTTGGGTTCACATCCTCATCTCGCACCGCCCACTCGTCCCCGCAGAGCCATCACGCTGGAGAACACCCTCGTCATCCTCTCCACCGTGGCCCCAGACGCGGGACGTTACTACGTGCAGGCGGTGAATGACAAGAACGGGGACAACAAGACGAGCCAGCCCATCACGCTGACCGTGGCCAGTGAGTGCGGGGGCATTGCCCCCCCTGGCCCCGCTCCCCCTGCACTGCCTGGCTCACCCCTGAGTTTAATTTGCAGTAAATCTCTGCGGAGGCTCCGGCTTCTGCTGACTTAACAGTTCAGCCGCCTCAAAATTTATTTAGGCACTTTGGGCTGTGCTGCAGGCACTAATTGTACCATGGGCAGAGCCTCCCCCGCCATCCCTGCCGCCGGGGCTGGATCTGGCCATGCCCTGGGACTGGTCTGCGGGATGGGATGGTGCTCCCAAGGGGAGCAGCTTTGCTGTGGGACACCCTGCCCCGCTCCTGCCCATGTTCCCCTCTCAGCCCACGCCGCTCCGGATCAGCCCCTGCCTGGGGGACACCCCTGTGGCCCCCATCCCTCCGGTCCCCTTGGACCCTGCAGGACCTAGCCAAAGGTCCCCTGGCCCCCGTTCAGGTGGTGACAGCCCATCCCGGGGAAGATGCCCCAAAGTGGCATCAATCCTCTGGGTATTCTCATCCCATCTCCCCCCCTGCTGCTCTGTGGTGGGGTTTATCCCTTTCCACTGAGGGCTCTGCGTGTCCCCCTTCCCCTCCTGCCCCATTAATCTGTTTTTCTGTACCTCGGGCATCCTGGTGCGTAATAAACAACCTGGAGCCCATGTTTATGGATTCAGCTATATCAGCAGCTTTCAAGCCGATCACATTTTTACAGCGCCTACATGAGGGTTTTTTATTGTTGCAATCATTTTGCTTTATATACTCCCCTTCTCCCTCCTCCCTGCCAGCCGGTGCTGCCACACAGGCTGGGGTCCGGGCTGGTGCCACAGGCTCCTGCGGGAGGAGAGGGCTTAGGGAGAGCTATGAAGGCACCCTGATGCCAAGGTGATGGGCTGGACCTGCCCGTCCTTTCCACGGGAGAGCAGAGCCCACAGACCTTTGGTCCCTGCTACCTTTATCTCCTCCATGCCAGGCAGAGCATGCATGGGGCTTTGGGTGCCCCATCAGCCTCGGTGGGGTCTGGGGTGCCATAGGGGAGAGCAGGGGATGCTGATGGCTGTCCCTCTGGCCTTCTTCTCCCCAGATGTGGGTGGCCCGGCTGATCCCATCGCACCCACCATCATTGTCCCACCCAGGAACACCAGTGTGGTGGCCGGGACCTCGGAGGTGACCATGGAGTGTGTGGCCAACGCCAGGCGAGTAGCATCGGGGCAGACGGGATGGGAACAGGGCATCTCCCTGTTGGCATCGCCCGGCTCCAGGGCTGGGTGCCCCCAGGTCCCTTCCCACCAGGGCTCCTGGGTACCATGGGATGGAGTGAGGTGGGGATTTGGTGGGGTGCAGAGGGGCTGGGGCTGTCTCTCAACATGCTCCCGACCCCCCCACCCCAGGCCGCTGATCAAGCTGCACATCATCTGGAAGAAGGACGGGGTGCCCCTCTCCAGCGGCATCAGCGACTACAGCCGCCGGCTCACCGTCCTCAACCCCACGCTGAGCGACAGCGGCTACTACGAGTGCGAGGCCGTGCTCCGCAGCAGCAGCGTGCCCGCCGTGGCTGAGGGTGCCTACCTCTCCGTCCTGGGTGAGGCCCTGGCCACGGGCAGCCTAAACCACACGTGCAATGAGTTGAGGTGGTCTCAGCCCCGGGGCTGAGATGGGAGGCAACAGGCAGGGGAGTCACTGGGAGTTGTTTGATGGTGGGGCCAGAGGACCCGAGCTTTAACGCAACCCCCTGCCCATCGCCGGGCTTCCCTTTGCAGAGCCACCACAGTTCGTCAGGGAGCCGGAGAGGCACATCACAGCCGAGATGGAGAAGGTGGTGGCCATCCCCTGCCAAGCCAAAGGTGAGCCGCTCCCCAGCCGCCCTCCCCGTGCCCCCACGGTCCCGTGCCTGACCTGGCCCTGTCCTTTGCAGGTGTGCCCCCCCCCGAGATGGCCTGGTACAAGGATGCTGCCCTCATCCGCCTGGAGAAGCTGTCCCGCTTCCAGCTCCTGGCGGACGGCAGCCTGCAGATCAGTGGGCTGGTCCCCGACGACACCGGCATGTTCCAGTGCTTTGCCCGCAACGCGGCCGGCGAGGTGCAGACCACCACGTACCTGGCCGTGACCAGTAGGTGCCAGCCTCCCCACCCTGGAGCCCAGGGTGCTCTGCCTGGGCAGTGGGTGGGATGCGCCTGGGACACCCTGGCTGGGCTCCACGGGGGGCTCAGGAACACCAGGAAACCCTCCCTTGGGGATGGGACCCCCCCCTCCATGACCCAGGAGCGGGTCAGCTCCAGGCTGAGCACTGGGAAGGGCTTCAGGGGGGGCTGTGCATCTCTCTACCCCACAGGCATCGCCCCCAACATCACCAGGGGTCCCCAGGACAGCACGGTGATTGATGGCATGTCCGTAATCCTCAACTGTGAGACCTCGGGGGCTCCGCGCCCAGCCATCACGTGGCAGAAAGGTAAAGGGGCTGAGGGCAGTGGGGTGCCGGCAAGCATGGCCCCAGGGCACCCTCTGCAAGCTCCACGGCCACCTGGCTCAGTGGCCACCAGGCTTGGCCGATGGCCGGGGCACCGTTTGCTGATGGGGTTCCCCTGTGTCACCCAGGGGAGCGGATCCTGGCCAGCGGCTCGGTGCAGCTCCCGCGTTTCACCCTGCTGGAGTCAGGCAGCCTGCTCGTCAGCCCCGCGCACCTCGCCGACGCCGGCACCTACGCCTGCCTGGCCACCAACTCCCGCGGCGTGGACGAGGCGTCTGCCGACCTGGTGGTTTGGGGTAAGGTACCCGCCAGCGTGCCCGCATCCCCGGGCTCGGCTTGCCGCCCCGCCTGCCTGCACGGTGCAGGATGGACCCTGCCCAGCTCCGGGGGCAGCTGGGTGCTGTCTCCCACCGTGCGTGGTGCGGGATGGAGCTCTCTGGGGGTGCTGAGGATGGGCTCTGGCATGTGGCTGGTAGGGTTGCGTGGGTGCAAACTTGGGCTGTCCCTTGCCGATGCCACCCCTGCAGCCCTCCGGGTGCCAGTGCCTCATCCCGTTTGTCCCCCCCCCAACCCATAGCAAGGACACGTATCACCGACCCACCGCAGGACCAGAGCGTCATCAAAGGGACCAAAGCCGTCATGAGCTGCGGGGTCACCCACGACCCCAGCGTGGACATCAGGTATGTGCGATGGGGCTGGGAGGCTTGGGGGGGGTCTGGGCACCCCCAGGCTGCCTGTCTGCTATCACCGCTTCCCCGGGGGCTTGGGGAGGGAGTGGGCAAATGGTGGGTGCCTCCATCCCCAGCCCTGCACTGCTGGTCCTGCAGTGCCACCTGGTGCCCTGCGCACGGGGAGCCCTGCACACCGGTGGGACCCTTGGTCCCCTCTCCTTGTGAGGGGCTGCAGGGTGTCAGGACTTCTGGGTGCCCCCCACCCACCCCCCGGCACAGGTACGTCTGGGAGAAGGACGGGGCACCGCTGAGCCCGGAGAGTGGCCCACGGGTGCGCCTGGACGAGATGGGCACCCTGCACATCTCCCAGACCTGGTCGGGCGACATCGGCACCTACACCTGCAAGGTGGTCTCCGCCGGGGGCAACGACTCGCGCAGCGCCCACCTCCGCGTCCGGTGAGACCCCCCCACACACACTCATCCCCACCAGCACCCCACGCCCTGGGCTGTGCCCCCTCCCTAACCGCCCCCTCCCTAACCC